TTTTTTTGCATCTGTTTTACCCCTGAGACAATCATAGTTCTATTTATTTTAGACATATGAAAGACGTTCTATTTCCGACGCTTTACAGCTTGCTTCTTGAAATGCACACCTGTCGAATGCGCTTTCGAGGCATCGGTGGTTCAGTGGTAGAATGCTCGCCTGCCACGCGGGCGGCCCGGGTTCGATTCCCGGCCGATGCAAAGCTTGTGGGGTTTTTTTTGCATCTGTTTTACCCCTGAGACAATCATAGTTCTATTTATTTTAGACATATGAAAGACGTTCTATTTCCAACGCTTTACAGCTTGCTTCTTGAAATGCACACCTGTCGAATGCGCTTTCGAGGCATCGGTGGTTCAGTGGTAGAATGCTCGCCTGCCACGCGGGCGGCCCGGGTTCGATTCCCGGCCGATGCAAAGCTTGTGGGGTTTTTTTTTGCATCTGTTTTACCCCTGAGACAATCATAGTTCTATTTATTTTAGACATATGAAAGACGTTCTATTTCCGACGCTTTACAGCTTGCTTCTTGAAATGCACACCTGTCGAATGCGCTTTCGAGGCATCGGTGGTTCAGTGGTAGAATGCTCGCCTGCCACGCGGGCGGCCCGGGATCGATTCCCGGCCGATGCAAAGCTTGTGGGGTTTTTTTGCATCTGTTTTACCCCTGAGAAAATCATAGTTCTATTTATTTTAGACATATGAAAGACGTTCTATTTCCGACGCTTTACAGCTTGCTTCTTGAAATGCACACCTGTCGAACGCGCTTTCGAGGCATCGGTGGTTCAGTGGTAGAATGCACAGAATGCCTGCCTGCCACGCGGGCGGCCCGGGCAAAGTGATTCCCCTTCCGATGCAAAGTTTTGTGGTTTTACTTTCTGCATACGAAGTACATACAAAGAGAAAGTATTGTAATCGTCAAAAATTCCTGAACTCGAGGATTTCCCTTGACCAATCTCCACGTTTTAGACCTTCCTGATTCCGAAAACATACTTGGAATTATGTCTGTTCAGTGTCTAAGGTTCAGAACACGATAATCCGAAAACTATTAGAGATATGGGGATGAAATTTGTATGTGGTCTTTAAACATAATTTTTAGGTTTCATCAAATTTTGACAAATTCCGTCAACGGGAAGTCTTGTCTGTCTGTATGTTCGAAGTCATGCGAACGCTGTAACTCAAAACTTGAAAGCCAGATGGATAAAATTTTACACAGTTTTACTCGTCATGAATGCAGGTCCGTATAAAAATTTTGGGCCAAACCCCGTCCAAGGGTTGACTGTCTGTCGGTCCGCACAATTTACTTTTGAAGAGAATCTGCCATTTCCACGCATGCGTTCTGGTTACCTCTGTTCCCGTAATACGGTCATCTTGCTCACTGCCAAATTCTTCTCGAATAAAAAGTGAATTAATTATGAGTGCTTTCATTTAATTTTTTCTTTCACGCCGAAACATTTTCAAGAGTTGCATATTTGATTGCGGTTAGTTTTAATTTGTATATTTCTGTAATGCATTTTTTTCTGAGTGAATTTGCAATATTTTACTTTTGACAGAACGAGAGTAGTTGTTAAAAAAGTAAAGCTATAAAGTAACAAACCAAAATTAGTGTCAATTGATTCACTGCCCTGTTTTTCATGCTTTTTTAATTTCTTAAGCACTCTACCAATGCGCATGATATTTTCAACTACAACTATCGGTAGTAAATTTGTAACAATCAGATCGGAGATATTGCTGGCAAGCTAAAAGGCTGCTTAGATGTGTGCAAATCTTTTAGTAACTTACATTAGATAATTGAAATTTGGTATGTGGTCTTCTAATTTATCCACGCGGTGGGAGGGGAAACAGCACCTTTTTGGGGAAGTATGCGAGAAAGTTTAGGGGAGGCCACTCCCGCTGGTTTGCATCTGTTTTGCCCATGAGACAATCATAGTTCTGCTTATTTTAGACATCTGAAAGACGTTCTATTTCAGACGCTTTGCAGTTTGCTTCTTGAAATGCACACCTGTCGAACACGCTTTCGAGGCATCGTTGGTTCAGTGGTAGAATGCTCGCCTGCCACGCGGGCGGCCCGTATGCCCGGCCGATGCAAAGCTTGTATTCATTTTTTGCATCTGTTTTGTCCAAGAGTCAAACATAGTTCTGCTAATTTTAGGCAGAACACCGCCCCATGCCTGATGCCATTAAAATACATTGATGGCAACTTAACCGGTTAAATGGACATGGGACGGAAGACACAAACCACACACCTCACGGGAACCCACAATTCACCGCATTAGAAAACCGCCTCCCGAACAACTTTATTGAAACAAAAAGAATTCTTTTACAATGAGAATATGCAGTATACAGGTTAGGTTAGGTTAGATTAACGTCCCGTTTTGAGGCAACACGAGGGCTATTTAGGGATGGACTTCGTAATTTTGAGCCGCGGTCAGATGATGAGGGCGCTGAGCTGGCACCCCTTTTCCAAACTTCCGCGCTACACCAGCAGAGGGACGTTTGGACACTATGTATGATTTGGCCTGCAACAGGCCCCATACACCGCGGATCTTCAGTGGTAATCGGTTTCGGGCCAGCGGCTCTCCGGTCCCGGCGTCGAGGCCTTACCACTAGACCACCGCGGCCCCCACAGTATATAGATAACTTATTAAGAGTTCACGAACGATTTACATGCCATTTTTAGATGCGTAGAAGGACTTTACTGGACACCCTGTATACAAAGACATATATGGATTTAGAATGTTTTCCCATCTTTAAAATATACCCTTTTCAACGATACATAGTTTTTAATTAAACGCTTTTAACTTATATTTATTAGCTCCATTTAAATTCTAGTATAAGAATAATTGCCACCTTAACTGTAAGAAGTCCGGTTTCCTCCGATTGTAAAGCATTCCGGGGTTTCCCGTTTCACACACTATTCATAGTTGGGACGCGTTTCGATCACTCTCTGTCTTTGTTTAAATCTTTACATGCGCTTCGCGTTTCCGTCCACTCTCATCATAGCTTGATACATCTCAAATAACCTAAAATGAGTTG